AAACTTTGCTTTATTACTTTGGCACATCGTTTATTTTCCGCTGTCAGACTTTGGGAGCCGTAGTGTTTACCGATTTTGCGTTAGAGGCGTTAACCTGTGTTAATTCGTGACATTTCATGAGTTAGCACAGGTACTGTATATAGCAAGTCAGAGTTCGTGTAGCAGGCATGCCTATAACACGAGACAGGCGGCGAGACAGAACAACTCTGAGCTAGCAGGAACAAACACCCTACCACTACTCTGATGATGGAATCGAGAAAGATTCCGAAACGTCAGCACCAATACAGTGTGGTCCATGGCATCGCCTCTTTTTCTTCTTCGTCTTCTTTTGGGGATGATGAACGGGATAATCTATCTGGACCTCGAATCTTCACTCATGTTGATTTATCCTATGGGCGCACAGCCCTCCGATCAGCACGCAGATGGGAGACTTTTTCTAAACGAGAGTCATCCACCTACACACAGCTGAAGTTCCTGCATCGTTGCCTCGAGGAGAACGTCTTGCCGAAGTGTCTCCGATATAGCCTGCCAGTGAGGACTGACCTCTGCCAGCGGACAATGGCAGATTTTAAGAAGAAGATGATCCGAGTCTTGATACAAGACTGCCACGCTCGCATCCGTAATTACCGACGAGCGATAGAACAGCATATTTCCGCATGCCGGTCAATAGTCACCGCGCACGATCTGCAAATGTTGGAATCGACAATACACAACAATGCACGTTGCCACCGCAGGTTGCGCGACAACCAATTGCTAGAGAAGTTCGAAAGAATACGTCCACAAATGGAGCCCTTTGCTGAAGGTGTCCTGATTCACAACCTCTCGTCTCGTCGCCTCACACAACAACAGCTGGAGGTTTTATCTTATGACGCTAAGTTCAACACAAGAGATGCTCGACCGGAAGATTTCATCGCATCCTTCGATTCGGCCCTTCAAAAGTGTGAAGCCAACGAAGAGTACAAAAATTCCATGCGGCAGCAAGTTTCGACTCTTCTCCTCCAGCACAAACCTCAAAGGGTGATTTCCGAAGCAGAAGACCGAGAACTTCTGAGAATGCGGAAGATGAGGGATATCGTCACTCTGCCCGCCGACAAGGGACGCTCGACGGTTGTCATGGACAAGACCGAGTACACGACGAAACTGGAAGGTCTGTTGGAGGACAAAGTTGCCTATAAGCCTTCGGAGACTGGAGAGTTCAAGAAGCACGTGAACAGTGTAAACAAGGCGATAGACAAGTTAAGGAAGGCAGGAGCCCTCAAGAGGCAGGAAGCACTGGCCGCAAAAGCCACCGATGCCGCCATGGCGCGCTTCTACGGTCTGCCAAAAGTGCATAAACCGGGAGTACCTCTACGCCCCATAGTCTCATTACGCGGCACCCCGACCTCTGGACTGTCGAAATGGCTTTACCAACGATTCCGTTTCCTGACCGGGGATTCCGAATGGACGGTGAAATCGGCTGAGCAGTTTTTGAGGAGTATCAGACATCTAGAAATAGAGTCAGACGAGATGATGGTATCGTTTGATGTGGTCTCCTTATTCACCTCCATTCCAACGGACCTTGCCATCAGCACCACTAACGAGCTTCTTCAGGAGAAGTACGATGAAAATGATCAACGGCTTAAACGAACGCATGTCATCGAACTCCTGGAATTGTGCCTCAGAACTTTATTCACTTTCAACAACCGGGTTTACGAACAAAAGAAGGGAACACCGATGGGCTCCCCGCTGTCTGGACTGATTGCCGAGGCTGTTCTACAGAGGCTCGAGCGACTGGTCTTCCGTTCGTACTCCCTAAAATTCTGGGCCAGATACGTCGACGACACATTTGTCGTAATCAAGAGGAACGACGTTCAGGACTTCAAAGTCTTGTTGAACTCAATATTCCCCGACATCCAATTCACAATGGAAGAGGAGTACAACAACCAGTTGCCCTTCCTTGACGTAAACATCACAAGAATGGCTAATGGGGGGATCAGAACTACGGTATACCGAAAGGCAACGAATACCAGACACATCCTCCAATTCCGGAGTAACCACCCCATCGGTCATAAACGCAGTTGTGTCAGAGCTCTTTTCCAACGAGTTCAAACACACTGTAATGACAAAGACGGGAGAAGGGAGGAAGTGAAGTACCTGCATTCCCTATTCACAGCCAATGGTTACCCACGATCCTTCATACGTGAGTGCCGAAGAGGATTTAACCGCGAACAATCTAATGATGAGAAGCCGAAGTTCTGGCTCGCAATCCCCTACATGAGGAATGTTTCTGAGGCGACAGCAAGAATTCTGAGCCCTTTTGGGATTGGGGTGGCCCATAAACCGGAATCCACTATCAGGCAGCAGATAATGAGGCCCAAAGACCAGCTACCTGCAACGGAACAATCAGCAGTGGTCTACAGCATACCTTGCCCAGATTGCGGTGCAAGGTATGTTGGTGAAACGGGCAAACGCCTCTGCACAAGATTGCACGAGCACCAGCTTGCAGTCAACCGCGAGGATAAGCTGTCAATGGTATATGGCCACATACAACAGGAGAAGCACAGTTTCGTCTTTGGGGAGGCGAGCGTCATCGGCCGAGCGAGCGACAAGATGGCCAGACTGGTTCTCGAAAGTTGGTCCTCAGTTGACACAATCAACAGAGCCATTGATCTTCATCCGGCCTACCAGGCGCTTCGTACGAGGCCCCAGTCAGTTCGGACGGGGCCGACAGCACTGGCGAACAAATCGCGGCTCTCTCAACAGTTGTCACCTTCCCAGCAGGGGGAGAGAGCCAGCCGGGTGTCAGACGACCGACGCGAGATCTCGACCCACCGACGCGCCCAAACAGCCGACCACGATTCCCACATGCAACGACAGCTGATCAGCCCGTCAAATTATGGGGGGAGGGCCCAAGGGCACGCGGACCTAGCAGCGACAACAGCGGCCGGGCAGGGGGCAGAGGTCACACCAGCGCCCCAGCGGTCGGCCACGGAGAGACCTAAGCCAATCCCCCGCCAGCAGGCAGGTCAGAGTTCGTGCAGCAGACATGCCTATAACACGAGACAGGCGGCGAGACAGAACAACTCTGAGCTAGCAGGAACAAACACCCTACCACTACTCTGATGATAGAAACGAGGAAGTTTCCGAAACGTCAGCACCAATAAAGTGTGGTCCATGGCATCGCCTCTTTTTCTTCTTCGTCTTCCTTTGGGGATGATGAACGGGATAATCTATCTGGACCTCGAATCTTCACTCATGTTGAAATATATATATATATATATATATATATCAGCGAGGAGGGACGACAGAGAATGCGGGTAGATTGATACAGCACTGTTTCGGGCTTATTCTGCCTTCATTCAGCCAATCATAACCCTGACCACCAGCAGCTGGGACCAGAAACACAAACATGCGCACAGACGCACCTGGCGCAGTCGGTCCACCACTGAGGCCTATCAGATGGGTCATAAGCACTTCATCGAACCGAAGTTCATCAGTGCCTCGCCACCTGTCATTCTCTGTCGCTGCAGATCGGGTATTTATCAATCAGGAATGGGCGCACACCCGAAACGGTGCTGTATCAATCTACCCGCATTCTCTGTCGTCCCTCCTCGCTGCTATTATGACTTGGCCGACTTCGGCCTGGTAATTGGTTGCCTGTTCGTGACCTTTGCCACACATACGGAGCTTGTTTGCTTTGTGAAGCCAATAGATCGGTGTGCGCCCATTCCTGATATATATATATATATTATGACAGTGGGCGCTCGCCGATCAGGTTACGGAACATGCTCGTTCCTTTGTGCCTTGGGGCTCATACTTAAACCCTCGCAGGCAGTCGCACAGCGACTAGTAGTAGACATAGATGAGATGATACCAACAAAGACAAGGGAGACCGGAATGGCCATTTCTGGCTTATTAGCCGTCATCAGCCAGTCATACCCAACCCCAAGTGTGGATCACTTGAGATTCGAACCCGGGATCTTTGGTCATGGAGTTGAACGCTCTACCATTGAGCCACGGGCCCGTTGTCCTGTCGGTTGTGATCGGGAATATTAATTATGACAGTGGGCGCTCGCCGATCAGGTTACGGAACATGCTCGTTCCGTTGTGCCTTGGGGCTCATACTTAAACCCTCGCAGGCAGTCGCACAGCGACTAGTGATATATGTTGGAAAGGTAATACCGACAAAGACAAGGGAGACCGGAATG